AGTGGCAGGTGTGTAAGTTAGGTAATGTGTTCATTTAACTGACTGGTCCATGTTCTTACTTGCTTAAATTCATCCCCAATATGTGTTGTGACTTGCAGATATATTATGCAAAAGTAAATTGATTAGTTGAAAATAACAGATGATACAACAGTGCCAACAAAGAGCAAGGTATAGAAAAAAAGTTTCTTTGCTACAAAGAACTAGAAAGCTTTATTTAAGTTATTTAACAGGCTTTTCAAGAACGGAAAGATGGAAGTGTTGTGGGAGAGGTTGCTTCAGTTAGACAATTAAGATGTGAAACTATGGCTGATGAGTACAGTTATGTTAAGAATTTCTGTCAGTATTCATCAATCAGATATGGTTAATGTTAGTGCTTTGAGAGTCCAAAAACTTCCATCATCTCACAGGTGTGATGAAATGTAGCTTTATTTTTATTTTTTGGTGACAGAAGACTTGATAGATTAAAGATTGCTATTACTGTCTCTAGTGGATATGACTTGTCAGTTTAAGACTATAGAACTAGAACCTCACAAGTATAAAAGGGAAAGGTCATTCATTGAAGCTGTGGACCTTTTCCTCAGTTAGCCGTTGTGGCTATTTACAAAGGCCGTAAATTGAGTTTAGTGCAGATTGAGAGGCTAGCACATGACTATCAATATGACATCCTTAGCTTCTTTTTCTGCCATTTGGATTCAAAAATTCAGGTTTGTGCTGAATGCTTCCCTATGTAGAAGTACGTGTTAAAATTTAAATGGTAGAAATGGAGAAGTTGAATAACAGTAGTAGGAGAAAATACATTGAGAATCTTCTATTTTTGAAAAGCAGATTGATGAAAAATTCTTAATTTTTATAATGTAGGTTAGCTTGAAGCTAAATAAAAATACATCTGATTTGTTTCTGCAGGTAGATATGTATATGTCAGGTGTAACCAGGTAGTGGACTGAGGGCTGTGTTTATATAATTTGTACTCCTCTGAGAAAATGTATTCAGCTTCTGGCTTACTTCCTGGTCTCTTGTTATTGAAGTGTAATGCATGTGCTTGGTGTTGCAGTTTGTAAAGTTGTCACATGATTTCTTTTCAAAAGTGGGATCACCCTCCTCATATTGGGAGAAATTTCAACCTGTTGTAAAGAAATGGTATGATTCTTTCTGTGCGTTGTTTTCCTTTTCATATAAGCAACTTGAGTTTTGAATGATCACAGTAGGAGAAAAAATGATTTTGTAAGACTGATGGAAAAGTAGTAGTTGTCCATGAGAATCTGTTGAGGTGGAGTCCAAAAGAGCTACCAAGCTGAATATATAGTATGAAATGGAAGTGTATTTGAATAGAGTAACTGAACTTCTTTGGTGGAAAAAGACATTCCTAAGACGTAAGTATATGTACAGAGGATGATAGTATTGAGTCCCTGTAGGACTTTGGCACCTCTGCTTATTACCTCTTCAGGCCTTCAGTAATAACTTGAATTTGGAGGAAAAAAATCCACAGTAATAGGTAGCCAGGAGTGTTGAATCACTATGCTGTGAGCACTGCTGCCCTCTGGTCTACATTACTGTGTTACTATTCATTCATCTACTTTTGCTGTCAATATGAGGTCTTGGCCTCCTTTTCCTTTTTTTGGCTTGTGGGAATAAGCAGGGTAAGTGCTACTATGTTCCTCTGCTATGGGGAGAACCTGGTGTGAAATTTTCAGTGAAGGTGTGGGTGACTCTGCTACAGCTTGCTGAAGGCCTTTTTGAGTCTTTGGCCATCTCTGCACTATCAGTCTGACCTCTAGATTTAAATGCTGATTTCTAGTCAGAGGCAGGTGTTTAGACACCTGGTTACTTCCAGTTTAATAAAGCAAGTTTTGAATAACGTGGTAATTTTCTTTTTTTTTTGGATAATTGTCAATTCTGAAAATGGCAAGTATAAAGTTTGACGCTGCATGGTATGATTACATTTCTTGTTGCTTTGATTTTCATCCCAGAGTTGAAAGTGAAATTAATTTAACAGGTACTAGACCATAATATATCCCCAAATCAGATCATTAGTGAAATTAAGCAAAGCTGAAAAGGTAGCAGGGAAGTAAATTTCCCAAGTGATAATATTCCTTTCTACCATGCATCAATGCTGAGGCACTTTGATAGATCATAAGTAACGTGCTGCTAACTATCTGTTGTGAATAGAAACTGTTAGTTTTCAAAAGTCCAATGGAAAGTACTCAGTTTTGAGGTTCTGTCCTCTCTTTTATATCTGTAGTCATTGTCTTCATTTGAAGATCCTTGTCTCCAGGCTTTCATTTGGGATATTATTCTAAGATTTTCCATATCTCATTTGCCTCCTTTCTCCTTCGTTTTCTTCTATAACCAATTTGACACGGCTACACTTTTTTATTTCAGGCACCAGCAGTTCCTGTGACTTGCATTTTCTTTTACAGATAAGCAGCCCTTCTGCATTAATACGGCAAAACCAGCTGATTAATGTCCTAGCTGCGCTTAGTTGCCTCCTAAGGCAGAAAAAAAAAATTAGTGAAGCTTGTATGTTGGCTTTTGCAAGTATAGTCACAGGGAACTTTTTTATTTAGGACTGAACCTTTCCTATACAAGAAAACGCACTTCCATACAATATTTTTTTCCTTGGAGTACTGACTTAGAGGCTTTTTAAAAAGAAGTCATTTGTTTATCAACAGTCATTTTGCTTAGTATTTTTATGCAGCATGTTATAAATTGCTACTGTTGGTTCAGGGACAAAGAAGAATGGTCTTATGAGAAACTAAATTTGCACAAAAAGAAAAGATGGCAGTTACCGCAAGATACTTTATTCCACCATTCATTGTAGTCTATGGAATTGATTTTTCGACTGTTTTTCTAGTTCATCTGGCCTCTGGGACACTCTGATACATGCAGATGACCAAATTTGGCAAAAGGTGTCCTTATTCATTCAAAGTCTTTTAATACTGTTCTTGTCTCATTCTATATGCGGGGGTTGGAGGACGGCAAGAGAGGAGAGAGGCAGGGAGAATGCAGTCTGTGCTGTCTTGGATATTAGAGCTCTTTCCTTAGCTGAAGCAGCTGTTACATCAGATACATATCACAGAGTTCATGCTGCTCTTCATCATGTGACAAGCAGGAATCTAAATCAAAGATAATTTTACACTACTTAAGTAACAAAAACTTTCCCAAGTGTCCTCATAAACAATTGAGACTGAATAGCTGAGCAAGACTGGCCTTTTTTTATCTTCATGATACCAGTGCGTGGAATTCCTATAGTAAATGCTTCCAAAGGCATGCATAGAGATGGGTGGCCAGAAGGCACTAGAAGGAGCAACTGGAATGGCTGTCCCGAACTTCTAACCTTAGAAACCATTAAGAAATTTGCCAGGTTATCATATTTTTTTCCAGCCTTTATCATTTTGAATAGACACGTATCTTGAAATATTGTTTGCTGTGCTCCTCCTGTTGTTTCTGCCAGTTTAGTGGCGTTTTTGTTTCCTGTTGTTGCCTCATTGACCCATGTGGACAGAAACTGCTGAAAAATGGTGCAGCTAGCTACACAAATGACTAATAAATAAAAAATACAATAAACTGAAGAGCAGTTTCTTTTTCAGACCCTCATTTCTACTTCTCTTGTAATATATAACTTGCAATTAAAAGAGAAAAAAATTCTGAATTTGTGGGGTTTTAAATTGATGTAACTTGTGAAGTTGAGTTTTCAGCTGACCATCTGATTGTGCCCCTCTTAGTTGACCAGTGTAAAGGTCTGTGATCCAGGTAAAAGCAGCAGTGACTAAAAGCAGCCAGAACTTGAACTGCTAGTGTAGTTTTTTGACTCTCTTATCAGAAGTCAATTTTATTATTTCTCTTATAATGCTTTTATGTTGGTTGTATTTTACTTTGTGCGTTTCAGTGTGTTTATCAGAAATCCTGCTTTCTATAATTTGTAATGCTCATACAGTCTTTTATCAAGGCTCTCTTTCAAAAACTACCAACACTGAGATTGTTTCTTCATTCTTTTCTTTGCATTGCTTAATACAAGTCAGTTTTTGGAGGTCATTGATCCAAACAAAAAAGACAGCTGACACATAAGAATTAAGTAAAATTAGAAAGGATGAAGTGAATTTTTTTTTTACCATCTGGAAAAGACAATCTTAACAAATCATCACAAATTTCTTGAGCTGCTGCATCAGATTCTTTCAAAAAACATAGTCTGTCTGTCCTCTCTCTTGCCACAAGTTGCTCAGGTAAGGCTAGGCCTACTGTGTTTCTTCATCAGCTTCATTCTTTGTCAAGCACTGCCAACACGTCATAGCTCTCTGAAGTTGGTAGGAATGTCCTTGAGCATGTAATGAAATTTTGACAGTGTTTAACCAGGCCAAGAGCTAAAATCTTTTCCTTTGATGCGGAATGATCCGCAAATAGTACTGAGACCCTGGAGGTCAGAGCTAAGCTAGTTGCAATTTTGGTGGAGTTTTTGAGCTTTGCTCTGTTTATGCACTTTGCTTATTAGGCATTTAAATTCGTATTGCAAAGATACCTGTCAGTTTCTCCATCTGGTAGACAAGATGAAATTATTTTGTGCAGTTCAAAAAGTGGTTAGCAGGAGAGTTGGGAGTAAAATTGAAATTTGTGACTTCCATTTTTCCATGCAGTATGAGGACATAGCTGTTTATCTGATTTATTTTGTGGATATGCTTTCATTATGTTTTTAGGGGTTTGTTTTTTCAATCTACCATTCTAAAAAAATGTAGTAATCACTCTTTTAAAGAGTGTCCAGTGAGGATATTTTGATGCTCCTCATGCTTATGCAGTAGCTGGTTGTCCTATTTCCACAGCTGTACTGATACTGTATACAGTCTGTACACTTATGGGCTCAAGTACATAGGCAGCTGTGTCTGCTCATAAGTGAAATTTTTCTTATAGATGCATTTTTTTGGCAGATCTTATTTAAGTTAGAAGATCTGTGTTTCAAAATAAACATTGTAGTTAAGCAACAATCATTAAGGGGAATTATTTGATATTAAATTTATGAGCCCAAATACGGAGGCCCAGCTTCTGAGAAAAATGATTCATAGTGCATTTTGATTGGTTGGGTGTAAGACACTTTCAGAAATAGTTGTTTTTCCCTATTTTTTTAAGTTAGGTTTCTTCTTAAAAAGGGTCTCTGAAACTTGAGGAACTGTAAGTGAAGTTTCCTAATGAAGTTGATGTCTTCATTTGTACCACACAACCCTTAAGACACCAGATTTAACAGTTGTGTTGTTTGGAGTATACACTGAAGAGTTTTTCAGCCAGTGCTGTGTATGGTAACACTGAAATGTTAGTCTTCTGCCATAATGCTTATATACTGAGGAAAGAGTTCATGCTACATACAGAAGGTATTTATTGGTTATAATTAAATAGTACATAATCTTGTCAAACAGATGCATGTTGTTAGGAAATTTCTGTTGAATAATGAATTACACAAAAGTACTTTAGGAAAAATATCTTGCACAGAACCTATGGTTCTTTAATATCCTGCCACATATACGTTATAAAAATTGCAAACTACTGCAGCATGAGCCTTTGTATCTGATTCATTACAATTACACTTTTTTTCCAAAAATACTGCCTTGATGCTGTTACTTGTGCAGTAGCTTTCCTCCTGTGCCTGATAATCCTGGAAGGGACTTTCTTGGTTTTAAAATTGTTATTTGCTGTAGTACATGCAGAGGAGCAGAATTAGTGAGTTGGAGTAGTTTGGTGATTTTTCAGATACAAAGAAACCCTAAAACTTTCATCTATATGATAATAAAAGGCAGGTTTATGACCATGTGATCTTTTTAGCTGTCTCAGCAGGACAGGGTATATTATAAGAAAAAGAAAAGCTTTGTCTTGTGTATGTGCCATTTTGTTCTGTGAAGAGATACCATAATTCTGAAATAAGTGCATTTGTTGTCATGGGTTTTACAAATAGTGAAGTGGAATTAGAGGATCCTATAAAGTTGTCCTCTCCGTTTTGATAAGTGGATGCAGCTGGATGATGTGCAAAAAGCTCTACTGCTCACAGTCTCTCCTAAGTTAAAGCCTCCGGTTAGTGAGAACCCATTTCTAATAGGAACTGCAGGAGAACTGTCTTCAAGGGCTGGTTGCCATGGAGCAGATGCGTGTGCATGAAGGACATTCATTGATACAGACTTCATGGCTAAAAAATACGTTGTCATGATTGTTGTATTCTATCAGAGGTCTCACTGATCTTGGTTCTAGGGAAAAAGAAAAGATAATAGTGAAGGTCTATATGTGTGTGTGTGAACGTGTGCAGATGAGTTCTGATTTTACTCTCTTTGTTATAGATGGTGAACCAGAACCTGCTGATGGAAAAATTATGTTCAGGAAACCAGCCAAACGTTCATCAGAGAAGTTTTTGGACTTCAATGTATGTTCAAGTAAGAAGATGAAAGAGGCAAAGAAAACTAAGAGAGAAGCAACTCCTCCTCAGAGTACAGCTAAGCAAATAAAAAATAGCAGTCTTCTCTCATTTGACGATGAAGAAAATGATGATTAGGAGTTGTAGTTTTTCTATTTTACTTACCCTTCTAGGGATCTGAGTAAGACTGAGAGTTTTCCTAGAAATTGAGGCATGGTATCTGAATCTTCTCTTATTTGTTATAGTCCAACTAGAGAAACATAGTATAAAACTAGCAAGAGCTAAGTCTTTGCAGTTCAGATGGAGCTGTATGAATAGTATGTCATGTCTTTATTTTAAAAGAGAATTTAAACATGTATGTAAAAGCTATTTGAGGTCACAAATGAGTAGCAAAATATAGTTGTACATATGCATTATTTTCAATCAATACGTTTTAAAATGTCCTCCATTACTAAAAATTTATTTCCTCGTTATTTACTGGCCTTAGTTGACAGTTGTGTGTTTTTTACCTGTTACTGTTGACTTAACATTCAAAAGAGAGAGACTTCATTGCTGTGGAACAGAGATTCAAGTTTTCTGTCGCATACCTTAACAAAAGTTTGCACAGTTTTTGCATATGTGGTTTGGCAGATTAGCTCTTTGCAGAGCCCTTGCAGTAAGTGAGCCTGCAGTTGCGAAAATTCTGTAATCTTAATCCTGTCTTTTGGTGAATGCAGTCTAAGAATCATCAAATTCATTTCAGTTGATCGTGCTAGCAAGATATAAAACTTTTGATTGTAGTTGGTGATATCAACTAATGCAAAAGAAAGATGCCTAAACCCTTGGAGATTGTTCACTTTGGTCATCACGCTGATGGGCTCAGTGGTTTGATTTTTTTTTTTTTTAGTATATTTGTTCCAGTTAGTTACCTAGGTATTCATAATTATTTGGGATCTCAAACAGCTTATTTTTTAAAAAATTTAATTAATCTTTAAGTTGTGGAAGAGCATTATTTTGGTTTTCTTCAAGTAAGAAATTGTAAACAGGAAGTTTAAGTCAACAAATGTTATAGCTGTGATACAACGTTTTAAAATTTTTCAGTTGCCCATGTACAGTACACTGAAAGTGACTATTTCTCTACTATTTATGTAACAGGATGTGCTGAAATTCAAAATAACACTGAGAGTTGATAGGCTTGAGGAGAACAAGGTGGTGGAAATGGGGCTAGTGACTTTGCAATTATTTGGAAGTATGGTGTGTTCTGTAACCACATATAAGCAAGACCTGAGACTGCTGCAGAATTACAGGGTGTGCGGCAATGAAACCAGTTCTTCTGCTGTGTGACAGGACATTGGAAATTGTTTGGGCTATAAAGCTTCACTGAGAAGCAAATTTAAAGTTTCTGTATGAAACAGCTGGTTTTAGTTTGTTAATCTGGTATTAAACAATAAATTATGTTTTCTTTAAGTGGTTCAAAGGTATTTTAATGAAAATTTCAGTGCATAAAATGGAATTTTTTTTGTCACCTGATAATGAAGCCTCTTATGACTGCTGCCTGTCTCCATACATACCAACTTCCTGCAGCATGAGATCAGATGCAAGTCTGCATACTATTTCACACTAATTGTGTGAGTCCATGTTACCCTGATTTTGAAAATTAGTAGCTCTGTTGTCCTTTGGGAAAATTAAAACCAGATCTATAAATGTAATATAAATATTACAGTTTTGTTGTACCACTGGTCTGATACTAGAACTGCCAGAGATGTGCAATGTGACAACCTGATTATTCCAATGAGGCCATGTTACATTTGTAAATACATAATTTGTCTGTATTCTGCATATATAAAAAAGAAAATCAAATGTAGGAAGAAAAAATACAGAATCAAAGGTTCCCAGGGATTAATCTTTCAATTTATTTTGTATACTTAAAACTTGTTTGAATCCATTTAAAATATATATATCTCCACCCCTGAGAAATCTTGTAGCATTACAGTATACTGAAGGCATATTTCAACAACTGAGTAAATACTCTGACTTGCTGAGACTCATCTGAAAGAATGAATTAACCATTAACTGCTTACTTAAACTTTTCTGGTTCTGTTCGTCAGCACAAAAATATACTTGGTTACATTTTTCTTGCATAGCCTGAAAGCTCTTCACTTTAGCTGTGAGGCAGTTTAGGAGACATGGCAATCAACAGATAAATGCTTGCCAAGGATCAGAGGTAATTTGGATTTACCTTAAAATTGGAGAGGGCCTCCCAAATATGCATCTGATTTGGCATGTTGAAAATAAGATTGAGGTCTTGTTTGAATCTGGTTAGTAATTGCATTTAAACAAAAATTACTGTTTCTAGTGAAAGACTCGGGAGACTGAAGTCCAGTAAAAAGAGGCTTACCTCAAAATATTGGGTGCAGTACTTTTGCTTAATCATGCTCTTTGCTCAACAACTTCATGACAGGTGTCTGGAATGCAAATAAATTAACTGAGTTTACTTGGAAATAATGTAATGAAAGATATGTTGCTCTTCGGGCAACACAGCAGGGGAAAGAAAGGTGGATACAGAAACCCAGTTTCTTTCTTTTATTCTGACTCTGGTTTGTAGCGCTCCGACCAGGAGGAGACCTCTGTATTCATTGTGTTTCACTCTCAGTTCACCTAACAATAACTAATTGGATATATTTTTTAAGAGGTGTGAGTGATGCACAAAAGCATTTTAGTTAAGTAGTCATGTGAAAATTCAGCATTTGTAATGTGACACACCAGACAAATTACACACGCCATCAACTCCCCATGAAACCTGTGACTAAAGAGAACAATTACTTGTTCATTTAGGAAAGAAATGTAAAACTGCCTTAAGCAATCACCTGCCTTAAGCAGTGGGCCATGGAAAAATAATAATCACAAGAACTTTCTAATAAAGGAGAAGCCAAATAAGTACATGGAACATGGGGCCAGGACTGGAATGGACAACTCTCCTGGCTTTTTCTTTCTCTCTCTCTTCCCTGCCCCCATCACCAGTCCTTTTCCCTCCTGTAGTGGGGAATGTATATGTATTTTCTTATTCTTGGAGCTTGCTCAGCTAAGCGTGAGAGAAGCGCTGTGGAGAAACAGGTGAAAGTAGCTGAGGCTTGTTTACCTAATATGGGGATCTTGGTCAGATGTGGCCTGTTACCTAATATGGGAATCTTGTACAGTTTTTATTAATAAAATGTTTGAAGTTTCCCAGTTTCTTAAGACTCCAAAACATTTATTGATGGTGGTGTTACTTCTTGCTCTTCTTAGCTGAGCAGTAAGCCAGAACAAACCAGGTGGACTGTGGTAGCATTGCAGCAATGGATGCTTATAGTGGAGGCTTTTTACCTTGCAAAGGTGCTTGGATGTCATCAGGAAAGGTGAGATGCACTGTCACCTTTCTTTCTTTTGAGGAAACAGGATCTTTCTCTAAATCATAGGAATCAAGGTGAATCATCATGAATGCTGCATGAGAGAGAGATATTGCAAAGGCATGGGACAGAATAAGCAAGAAAATGCATGAGTGGGCAGGTGGCCCAGGAGTTCTTATCCTTGGTTGTATTTCTAGCCTGTCTGATAAGGTTAATTTTTTTTTTTCTCAAATGAAAACAAATTTGTTGTACTGCAAATGTTCATTTCATTGGCCTAAACAGGAAGGGATGAGTCAGAACTCTATTTTGATGCTTTTTGTGTCCGGCACTTTTCCAGGAAATACCATTTGGAGGCTCAGAGGCTGTGTTTTGCAGACACTGAGCACAAGAAGCCTGTATTTAGCTGTTTTAATTACACATTTTTTAAGTTTCATCACAGGACTTAATGTCTTTTTTTTTTACAGTGCTTCAATATATAATCCTGTTAGGAAGCTGCAGATTTATAATGAAGCAGGAAGTAGCACTGTCATCATTTCAGCTGATTGTTTCCTTTGTGCTGTAGTGTATTAACTAAGTAATGCTTCACTTGGCTGCGTAGAGCCAATTGCATTCTCAAGGACATCAGGCATGCCTGAAGATGAGTCATTACCTTTTGTACAGCTCCAGAGGTATGATATGCAGTCTCAGCAAGTGTTTGTCCATTGAAGTTGGTTAATAACCTATAGCCCTCTCCCGTGGCAGGACGCCATAAATCAATCCTTTGTGCATTCAGCAAACAGAAAGGCTGGTGTATCAGCTGACTCTTCAGTATCATCCCTTTATTCCCATTCCTAGAGCGAGGTGTTAATCTGCAAAGCAATTTTTCATGTCGTAGACCTCCCCTTCTGCTCCACTTCCTTGAGAGCATTCCAGAGGCAGCAGTCACAAGGGTAGCCATTAAAACCAGGGGAGAAATACCACAGGGTTTTACGTGAGTGACTGCAACCTCCTGTAGACTTCCTCAGGATTTTGATAACCTGTAAAATCTCAGAGCCAGCCCCTGGGCAGTAACTTCCTCCTGGGGAAAGTGGATGGGACCAGTGAGGAAAATTACACAAGACTGAATTTTACAGTGTTTACCCTACTATCACTTCTTAATTTTTGTTAGAGGTAAAGTCAACAGCTGGCAAAAAAGGAGATGTAAAGCGGCTTTGGTGCCATTCCAATCCATATGGCAAAGGATTCCTTTTCCTTGGCTCCAGTGGCAGTCCTCAGTGCAATGCCTGATTAGTTAAGGCCATGGGCAAGAGGGAGCTACCTTGTAATAGGCAGAAGTTATTAGAGGAAGGTGTTGTCAAGCCTCCGTGGGGTAACGGTGATCACTGCACACTTTTAGTTTTGATATCATGAAAGGGTTGTTCCCTTAGGGACAACACTGTAGCAACGCACTTTAAAAGGGCAGATTATAAAACTATGAGGAAAATGGTTAACAGCAGGCTGAAGGGCAAAGAGAAGTACTTAAAAACCATAGAGATCTGCCTGGAGGCTATTTAAGAACATTGTATTAGAGGCACAGATGGTTTGTGTACCTCTGAGCAAAAAAAGCGTACGAGGAAGAATGAAACTCACAGGGTTACGTGGGAGAGGAGCGTTGAGTATAGAAAGGTTGAAAACACATCCCTTAAAGATGACGACTGTCTGAATGACAGAGTAGGAAACGTTATCAGGAGAGTGGAAAGAGCTGGCAAGTGTCAGTGCTAAGAAAAAGACTATAGCAGCTGCTGACTTTGGATC